GCTCCCCTCCCGCCCCTGCTTAGCCGGGCTCCTGCTTGGCAGGGACCTCTTGAGCACAACGCCCTTCCGCCCTCGTCCTTTCATACCTGCCCCACCTCTTTGTTCTGGGTGACCCCCAGGACCTCCCCGTGGACGCCAGCCCGTTTCCAGAGAAGATGAGGAATGGGACGCTGGGGGGCAACAGGGACAAGGAGTCCCCTGCCCTGGATGGCTGGGCCCAGCAGGGGAGCAGCCCCACCTTTGTCCTGCAAGAGACCTCCCTGTGAGGCGGGCTCAGGCCCAGCTGCTGTCCTCAGGTCGCCCGCGGCAGCCAGAAGCCACTGTGGAGTAGGGACAAGTCTTAGTGTGCTCTGCTGGGACGGCCCAGATGACCCAGCGCAAACCAAAGGACATTGTCAGAACATCTCGCCTGCCAAGAAGCCATGGAACCCTCACATTTTGGGTGTGTGGGAAGGGCAGGGCTTTGCCTGGTGCCTTGCCTGTCTGCTCTCTACAGGCCAGCTTTGCCAGGGCAGAATCGTGCCAGAAATAGGGACAGAAGTGAACACTGCTGAGAGGATGAGGGCTTCCCACCCAACATGGCCAGAGTCCTCGGAAGTGACTCTTGAGGTTAGAACTGCCCTAGGCCCTAGTTCAAGAGCCACCATCACCACCACGGAGCAGCTGCCTGGCCAGCTGTTGTTTTCCCTGCAGTCCCATCCCAGTACCGATTCCACCCACCCCTGTGGGCCCCTGTGATTGTTTCAGGTGGTCTGTGGCGCCCGAGTCCCTCTCATTCTCACCTGTCTACCTCTGTTCTTGAGAGGGAGGTTTTGGGGTCCCTGGGCCTCTAGGAACAGGCAGGCACAGTATCTCCTTGTGTAGAGTGGCACGTGTTCCACCCCACTGCCTCCATACTGCAACTGAGACAGACACATGGGGACCAGGGCCAGGACCGTGTCCCTGTGCAGCAGCATCCAGCTGATTCCTGAGCCAGGCACCCTGGTGTCACTGTCACACGTGCCTCCATTTCCTGTGGAGTTTCTTCCCCACACATCTTCCTTCCTAGGGAATAAAACAATCTTTGCACCTGGGCCCCTGTGCTGTCTCCGTTGCTCTTGTCCAACCTGCGCCGGCCCTGAAAGGGATGAGAGCCCCGTCCTGTACACAGGTCATCGTCCTCTGCTGAGGAGAGGAGCAAAGGGGACGTGGATCATGGCTTCAAGTCTCTGCGGCTGCCTGGTCTGCAGGAGATGGCTTTGTGCCCACAGTCTGCCCCCAAGGCTTCTTACCCCATGTGTCTTAGTCTGTCCGCTCCAGTCTCACCTGTCCTCTGCTACGATGGTCGCTGCACTGAGATTTCCACTTTCAGGGCTGGAGCAAGAATGCTGTTTTTGTTTGTCTTTTTTTTTTTTTTGAGTTGGAGTCTCAC